CTCAAATATCGATCAATTTTGTCCAAGTTGAGCGCGATTCATTAATCTTGGCCGCGTGCGCAACTGTTGAAGCGTTTTTCCATTCCTAATGGGCAGCCGACAGAGATACAATAATAGAGAGACTGAGAGAGTGAGAGAGCGCGAGAGGAAGAGAGAGAGGTGGGCAGGCGGGGGCTGATTTAGTGGAGCAGAAGTTGGCCCAGGGCAATGCGTTTATGCGGGCACAAATTAACAGCAAGGCAAAACAATTAGTGGCAACAACAACAACAGCAACAGCAACTACAACAACAACAGCAATACGCACCTTATCATTTATCTTAGCTGCGCTGGCTATTTATTTGGAATGTGCCGCAAGTGCCGCGAAAATTAACGCAAAAATTTTGACTGGCTAATTGAGCGCGGCTTTTGGCCATAAACTAAGCATTTAAGCCAAACTGGAGCTCACGGGCATGCTGCATATTTCAAAAGCTTTGTGACACAATCAAAAAAGGGGGGTTTTAAATTTAAGGAAAATATCATTTCTAAAACAATTTACTGGCCTAATGTCTAGGCAGAAGCCTTTTTATATCTCGACTCTAGGGGAAGGAAATAAATTGAAGAGAATTTATATGAATAAATGAAGGTCCATACATAGTCTAACAAATTCACACAAAGCCATTCACAATAGCTTTATAGATATTATAGATATACGGGGTATGGGAAATTTTAGGTAAACAAGAAAAACCAAAATAATAATTTATTTCATATTTTTGAACCCACATATTAATCTTTACTCAACTAGTTATAGACTAGACTTCTAATCATAATCTTTGGTTTCAGCACCTCCATACCTTGATTAGGGCATTCAGAGTGCGCTGTTCTAATTGAGAAATCGTAGTTGGCTCAGATTTCAGTTCGGATGCGCCACCTGTGGGGCGTTTGGTGGGTCTTTGATATCGCCGACATAGATCTGAATCTGTTGACTAGATCTTATGAATGGCATGCGTTATATGCATTTGGGTTTGCTTGGCTAGGCTAGAGCATGGCTGGCTGGCTGGATGGATGGATGGATGGACCGGCGACTGGGTCTGGGCTGGGATTATGTCACATCCGCTTGGCCCTGCTTAAGACGGATGCTTCACTGTGCTGAGTGCCTGGCCATTAAGATCGAGTGGGCCGAGCACTTGAGAGCCGAGTGAGAACAGTGGCTGCCATTGATGTTGTTGCCAGCAAGTGCAATGCAATGCAATGCAATGCAATGTAAAGCGGCTCCATTAGCGCCACTCGAGGGGAACTTAGGTGTTTTCGGTCGGACTGCCAGTGCATCGCATCGCACTGAGATCTCTCTGTGCAGCATCTCTGATTTCCAAATGTGCATTACAGACGCTCGTTAGGTTAGCATGGGCAGGCGGGACAAGGGCCAGAAGTGTGCTTCGGGTCTAACAAGCATAATATTTTTGGCAAGGCGGCGTCGGCTGATGACGATGCCGACGACATCGACATCTTCCTATACTCGAAATGCTTTTCAGCTGCGATTGTTGCTGTTGTTGTTGCTGCTGTCGGCGGGGCCAGAAATAGCGTAAAACTCATAAACGGCTGGCGACTGTTGCTGGCGTGGGGCAAGTGGCGAGTGGCGAGCAGCAGCAGCAGCAGCAGCAGCAGCAACATGCGATGCCATTTGAAAATTTCATTTCATTTCGTTATAATTTTCTATTTCCCGCATGGCGAACGGCCCCTAGGTACCGCTACCACTGGGTCCCCCTTAGCTGGTACCCCCGCAGCAATCTCACAGAGAGCGCATAGCAGCCCTCGCTAGTTGTTCATTTGGCTTTAGCTGCGTCTAGCGCCGGCATTCATACTTAATTACCAAAAACGAAAAGTCAAAGAGTCGTCGCAGTTGTCGTTCGTCGTCGTTGTTGTTGTTGTTGTTGTTGCTGCTGTTGCTGTTGCTCTTGTTGCTGCTGCTGTTGAATCTTCTCTGGCGTGACGCTAAATGAGCAGCACCAAGTCTTCTTCTGACCAGGTAGCCAGACGCACCAGCTATGATGAATTGTGGGTGCCGTTGAGTAAGTTCGCCTCTCTGCAACGTAGGCGTTGACCTAAATAAATAGTTGCTGCTGCTGTAGCTGCTGCTGCTGCTGCTGCTGTTAAATCGTTTTCCGCTTGTGCAATCGCTTGCTAAACATTCTATGGCGACAAGTGCAACCAGAGTAGATATCAGAGTTTTCCACATGGCTTTTGTAAATGGAAACTCACAGTCAAGGTTTGAGCAAAAGCTACAATATATATATACATACTTACATACATATATGTATGTATGTATATATCTAGTTGAGCTATTGAAATGTATATGGTTGCTTGGTGTTGGCGCTGTGACAAAATATAAAACCGCAAATTGATTTTCAATGCTGCATTTGTCTATTATATAATATTGTAAATGGATAAAGAAAGGTCTCATTGTGGGCTGCACTGATTGAAGGTGTTGCTGTCGCCACAGCTGCTGTTGCTGTTGTTGTTGTGGTTGGTGCTGCTGCTGCTTCTGGTCTACGCTTGGCGACATTTCGAGTTCCGCCAGTTTGTCTCCGCTTTTAACCAAAACAAACAACCAGAAGCACCGACAACAACTACAACAACAACAACAATAACGACAACAACAATCGATGCTGCTGCTGGTGGTGGTAACGACGAGCACACAAAAGCAAATGATGTTTTATGAGCAGCTAATTTACTTAACACCTCAGCAACAACAACAACAACAACAACAACAACAACAACAACAACAAATAACAGCAGCAGCTACAGTAGTCACATAAATAAAGATAAAGAACCAAAATTTCAACTATAATAGCCCAATGCCAAAAACAATGACAACGACAACAACAACAACAACAGCGAGCGATAGAATAAAACATTTATACATATATATATTTTTTTTATTTCAATTTTTTCATGTGCTGGGATTTTATTTTTAAAGTCAGCTTGGAGCCGTTGCGTGGGTGCAAATTGGACAATAATATTGGACCAGTCGATTCATGAAAATACCGATTCAGACAAGTTCGATTGCATTTTAATCAGTTTCAAGCAGAGCAGGGCGGAGCGCTCGGTTCCGGCTATGGCATATGGGGCATACGGTGCGTATGAACCGGTTCGCGTTTGCCCGTTGTGGAATCAGCAAGACACAGCAGCTCCTTGTAAACGGTTTATGGTTTTTTTTTTCGTGTTTTTTCAGTTTGGGATTTTTAATTTCTTCATTATGCTAGATCTGCGTTTGTCGCTGACATTGATGGGCTGCGGGTTTTATGGCCGACATTTGATTTGGTGCCCATTGATATGCAAATGCCGAGGAGCGCCAAGTGAATGCTGCTGGCAGGGCGTGGGCGGAGGAGCTCGATGGATTATGTATGCATTTGGTGCATAAAGTAGCTGTTTAAATCGTTCGTCAATCAGCTCAGTTGGGGCAGCGAAATTGAGGCACAAATAATGGAATGGAGAAATGGAAGCAACTGAAGGCAGATGCAAATTTTTCGCTGCGTTTGCAAACAAAGAGCCCAACAAAAGCCGAAGCCGAAAGCAAAATAAATCAATCTCAAACGAAAAAGTAAATATCCTGTGCGCCCCCGCCGCTGCCACGCAGCCGCTTCACACACAAACACACGCACACACACACACACACACAGTGCCCCATTCATTGATGAAGCTGAAAGGAACAATTGGCAAGGCGAGCGTGCGAAGAGAGAGAGAGAGAGAGAGAGAGAGAGAGAGGCGGCTAAAAGTAAATAAACACAAATTAAGAGTGGAGAAGCGTCAGAGGCAGAGAGCGAGACAGAGAAGAAGAGAGTGAGCGGGAGGGAGAGAGAGAGAGCGAGATAGTGAGTCTAAGAGGGGCAGCAGCAAGAACAGCTGATTGCAGCTGATTTCTGATTTCAAACAAAAAACGAAGAGGAAGAGCTGAGCAGAGAAGAAGGGCTGCCACTGCCGCAGCCGCGCCCTCGCTGTGTGCGACAGGCATGACGGAAGCCAAAGAAGACGCAACAGCAGCAGCAGCAGCAGCAGCAGCAGAAGAGGCAGCAGAGGCAGCAGCAAAAAATGAATTAAAAATCTAATTGCGACCGCGCTGAAACAAAGCAAAGACGAGTAAAAGACAATAAAAAAGACGAGCGAGGGCGGAGGCGGTGATATACAGCATATATATATGTATCTACTCTCATATGGTTGAAAGTCGGCGTAGCTTGTTGGGCGCACTTAGTCGCGTTACAGACGCAAACGTCATGAACCGCAACGCAACAATAATTACAACAACAACAACAACAACAACAACAACAACAACAACAACAACAATAAGAACTTAGGGCTGGGTATGGCAAACCGCAAAGGTCGACTGCAGATGCCAACCGGTGAAACGAAGGCCAGAAGAAATGAGTTTTCAAAGTTTTTCCAACTTGGGGAGCAGCACAAAATTAATGCGAATTTAATTAAAATGTGCAACTAGCAACAGCAACAGCAACAGCAACAGCTGCAGCAGCAGTAACAGCAGCAACAATCAATTCTAGAGCTGAGCTTTGCTTGTTGCTGCCCAGCCGCCAAATTGTGGAGGAAGCAGCAACAGCAGCAGCAGCAGCAGCAGCAACTGTTGCCTGGATGCAGAGCTGACTTGGAAAATTGCAATCGTCGGCGCATGTGCGACGACTCCAACTAAGTGTGTGTGTGTGTGTGTGTGAGTGTGTTGCATAAATTTATTTCGGTCTGGTGGATATTAGCAGAGCGTGAAGTTGGCAAATAAGAAATTCAGCATAAAAAAAGGTAAATTTTCATTAAACAGCAACAGAAAAAAAAAAACAATAAATAAAAAATGAAGAAAAAAGGAAAATAAAGCGAGATAGAAAGCATTGATAAGTGTCTAACAAAGTTCAACTCTAACATGACTCAGTCTCTCAAGTATATATTCAAAGGGATCTTTGATCGGAATTGTACATATACATATATATATGTACATATAGTATAGAATCTCTTTGGGTACTCACCATAATTTTCGCTCACAGCTGCTTGGACTGACTTGAGCACTGGCGCCGTCGCTCGGATGGGCTGACCCAGTATGGAGAAGTTGCCGGGATTCGTTTGCTGGACAAACATGATGTAGCGTATGTCGGAGGATTGCTCCAGGTTGAAGTGGATCAGGCCGCGCACCTGCAGCCGCTCGCTGTAGATGTCGCACTCGCCGCTTCCGTTGCGCTGCGCGAACTGAAACCGAACGAGCTGCGGCAGCTGCAAGTCCCGCTGCTGCTTGAACACCTGCAGCACCTTCATTGTGGCCGAGAAGTTGGCCGGCCGATTGGCCGTCCTCGAGATGAACACGCCCATGATCACTGTGGGCGCCGCAAACGCCAGCTGAGCGGGATCCTGAGCGGAACAATAGCGACCCGTTCGCAGCTTATTCCGATGCTTTCGCGGATGTTTTCGTCGCTGCTGGTGTTGATGTTGCTGCTGGTATTGCTGCTGCTGTCGCTGCTGTTGTTGCTGTTGACGCCGCTGCTGCTGTTGACGCTGCTGCTGCCGTTGGCGGCGATACTCGCGCTTTGCCTCCTGCTGCTGCTGCCGATGGCCGTGATATTTCCGCTGGCCATTGCCAAAGTCGCGACGACTGCGCGCCGCCTGCTCCTGGCTGCTCGCTGGCACTTCATAGGACTCAATAAAATACATTTGCGCTGCTGCTGTTACTCTGCTGCTAAAGTTAAAGGCGGCAACATTTTGCTGTTGCAGCTGCAGTTGCCGCGCATGGCTGTTAGGCTGCAACTGCTGATGTTGCTGCAGCTGCTGCTGTTGCTGTAACTGTTGCTGCTGCTGTTGCAACTGCTGCTGCTGTTGCTGCTGGAGTGCATGTCGTCGCGTTTTACTACTCGACGAGATGCCATTGTTTAATAATTTATATTTTTGACTATTTATTAGCGTATTTGGAACTTGTTGATGTGACTGCTGCTGCTGCGTTGTCACCGCAGCAATATGTTGCTGCCGTTGTTGCTGTACAGCCGCATTGCTAACGCTGCCTGCGTCGAATACTGTTGCTGGCCTTAACTTAATGTTGCTAGTGCTACTAAGACTATTGCTGGGCCGGCTGAGCAGCCTACTTAAGATATTGTTGTTGTTGTCGATGTTGCTGCCGACGCTTTCACTGCTCCCGCTGCCATTGTCCGCCAGCTGTTGCAGCTCTTGTCGCTGCTGTTGCTGCTGCTGCTGCTGCTGCTGCTGTGGCAGCGCAATGTAGTAGCTGCTTTCTTCTGATTCCCATGATCTTTGCTGTTGCTGCTGGTGTTGGCTTGCGATTGCTGTTGCTGTGGCTGCTGCCGCTGCAGCTGCTGTTGTCGTCGGCACACATGTGATCAATAGCAACATGTAGCTGACGTAGATTGCTAGCGATATCAATGGCATTAGTTGCGGTTGCGTTTTTAGACTCCATTTGCGCACATGTTGCGCATACATGGCGTCCTCCAAAGTTGTTGTTGCTGTTGCCCTAGCTTTATTTACAAATCAACTATCGATGGCTGTCTATCGCTTATCGTAGCTGTTGCTGCTGCTGCTGCTAGTTGCTGCTGCTTGGCGGTCTGTTGCTGCTGTCTCTGCTTTTCACTGTCTATTGCTGGCAAATGTTGCCGTCGCTGCGTCGTCGCTGTGCCTTATCGTATTTTCGTTTATCCTGCAAATACTTTCGATAATTTCGTAGCATTTTGAGGGACAGCAACAGAGAGACGCGACACGAGAGAGACGAAAAGAAAGAGAGACACGTTGAGTGAGTGGGGTAGAGACAGTAAATGTTTAACAATTTCTAGCATAATATTTATGAGCACTTTGGGAACATTTTTGGCTGTTGCTGTTGCTGCTGCTGTTCTTGTTGCTGTTGCTGTTGTTGTTGTTGGTGCTGTTGCTGCTCTTGTTGTTGCTGGTGACTCATTTTGGCCCGATCGTCTGCTTTGGCAATGCAAAAAATGTATACGTATATCTTTAAATAAATAAATTGCTGTTTGTATTTGTTATTGTTGCTGCTGTTGTGGTTGCTGTTGTTGTTGCTGGTCTGCTTGTTCGTTCGTTTGCTGTTGTTGCATTTATTTTGTTTAGAATTTTATTTGATTTTATTTTATTCGTTCGCGTTCGCGTTCGCGTTTCACTTGAGCGCCTTGGAGTCGACGCACTGAGCTATGGCCACGCCCACCCCCTACCTCTTGAGTAGACGTAGACTTAAGGTCGTCGCGTGGCGTTTGATTTAAAGTTTTTATGCTGTGGATCTATTTTGCTGTTGTTATTGTTGTTGTTGTCGCTGATTCGGTTTGCTATTTGTTGTTGTTTTGCGCGTTTTTCACGACGTTTTTCACGCGCGCGCGTTTCGTGCGCGACTCGTCAAGCTGCTCGGCTGCCGTCGGCTCTTTGCCGATTGGCAGCTTCGCCTCTTCGTGCGTGCAATGCGACGCTTCGTTCGTGTTGCTGTTGTTGTCGCTGCTGCTGCTGCTGCTGCTGCCGCCGCTGTTGTAATTGTAATCCTCGCAGCGTGCGTATCTGTGAGATACACTTCTTTTCGATAATGTTAATGTTTGTCTTGCCGTATACGCGATCTGTCTATATAGACGTAGTCCGTAGTCGTTGCCGTTGCCGTAGCCCGTAGCCGTAGCTGTTGCCGTAGTCGCTGCCTGATTCACTGTCGAGTGTTTTCTGGCACACACATACGCACACACACTTGCACTGTCTCTGTTGTCGCTGATGACGCTGATGATGATGATGATGATGCTGCTGATGATGATGTTGATATAGCAGACACACAGACACAGAGTCAAACAGACACACACGCACGTACAACACACCCGACGAAGACAACACACACGTTTTCTAATTTTAGACAAAAGTAATTATAAAAGAAAAAAGCAGAGCAGAGTGCGCCGCGTTCAGCTCATACGCATATATCTTCTACTCTGCCTAGATATATATATGTATATATATACATATATGTTTTATATATATATTATCATATATATGTTGTGTGTGTTGCCGATTATATAGGAGGATCGTCGCAGCAAATATATATATTGCACACGCACACACTAAATCGATCCCGATCGTTTTTTATATAGACGCATATGCATATATGTGAATTATAAGTATATGTATTTGTGTATCAGATGTAGACAGACGATGTCAGTTGTTTGCTGGACGGAACAGTTGATGTTGCCAGTGACAATTGCAGTTGTTGTGGTTGTTGCTGTTGTTGTTTCTGCCGCTTTTGTTTTTGTGGTTTCTGCAAAGTTGATTTTCTCTTCTTTTTGTTTTTGTAACTCAACAAATTGTGCGCTTGGCTTATCAGTCAATAAATATCAGTTCGAAATTGATTTGAAAACTGAAAGTCCTTTCACGATAATCGCCATCTGATGAAATACTTAAAGTTTTCCACCTGCACACGGCAATCGATATTGATCGTAATATGCGAAAACAATTGTATTATTCATAAAGTCGTTGGGCTTTATTTTTATTTAAAGATTATTGTATTTTTATTTTCGTGAATATTTTTGTTGTATATTTTTTTCAAATTTATTTATTTATTTTTTTTATTTTAATTTATTTGTTGTTTTTGTTTCACGCACCGCACAGAAAATGAAATAAATTTAAATTCAATTTGAAATTCACATACACACGATGCCTCAGTGTCTCGGTCTGCATTTGACTCGACTATATTCTGTATATTCTCGGGATTTCGGTTTGCCGACACGCGCGTAACTGACCCGTTGCTGTTGAGTGTTTGCCGCGGACTAACAGCGAAACGTTACTCGGCACGTAACGCTTACGTTGCGCTGCACAAAACGAACCCGCCAACGCATCGTAACCAGCCGAGCAAACAAGATCGCTAGCAGTTTGTGTAGCAATTAATTATTTAGAGATTTTGGCTCATTTTTGACCAAAGAAAATTTTCAATAAATATTCGAATGTTGTACTTTGATTATTTTAATAGCAACTTGTGAAAATTATGATTCAAAATAAATTAAAAATTCGAATATAAACTAACAATAACATTTACAGTAGTATGTTGTACTCAAAATGGTTATGTTAAGCTCAGATTGGCACTGTTAGACTGTTGTGGCCTTAGTTGAGTTCGACGTCTAGGTTTGATGTTGCATGCTTGTCTGTTGCGCGCACGCTTCACACGTATAAGACAACGCCACATACGTATAAGATAAAGAGTTCGAGTGTATTGTATTCCAACAATTTGAATGAAATAATGAGCGCGCATTTACGTTTGAAAAAGGGGAGCTCTAATTATGCAGTAATTATGCAATATATTTTAGTTAGTAGAACATTTTTAAGCAGTATTTGAAACTCCATCATGTTTGTCATTTGATATTTTTATTGACTTTTATTTCCGTTAAAAATTTCATTAAATTTTTTTTTTGTGAAGGACTTTACATATATGTAATACGTCTATGTATATTATATCAGTCAGTTAAGTATCAGGCCAAACCGTAACGTGTTACGCTGTGCATGTAAATATTTTAACTCCTTGCGTAAGCGCTATCAAATCTTGAGTGAGTACCCATAGTTTATCAGAGTGCTCATACATGAAAATATTTTATAATTCTTCACCATTACTTACAATTCTTTTGATGAATTATTTTGAAAATAAGAGCTTTTGCAGGATATGCAGGACACGCTGTCTGATTAAGCACAAACGCTTGAAGAACTGAGCACGCTTCAATGGGCTTTCCTCTGTTTAGTGAAATATTATTGCGAGGGTTTTAGCTATTTATGCGAGCGATCATAGCAGCCGTTCCTATCTAAAATGTGATAAGCAATATATTGTATGCTTATAATAGTTTGTTGAAGTGTGTGATGGTTCGATATGGATAAAAAGTTGCTAATAAGATTTTATGAAATAATAAAAAGTGCTTGCCAAAAATTCCTGTTACCTGTAATTCGATTATATATTAAATGGGAGATCATGGTGGCTTAACGCATAATCTTTTGGGCAAGATTAGTTTAGAGTTTGCGGTATTCCACGAAAATCGACAGACTAACACATACGCAGCTGCTCTTAGAGTAAGCTGGCAGCTCGGCTCAGCTTTTTCCCATGATTATTTGCTTGATTGTCAAATGTCAAGCCCCCAACACAGAAGAAGGAGACCAAGTCGTCAGGTGAAGCTGTCGCTGGTTGGAAGTCGTGTAAACTTAACGTTTTTACCAGTTGCTGCTAATGCTGTTATTGTTGTTATTATAATTGTTGTTCTTGTTGCTGCTGCTGTTGCTGCTGTTGCCGTTGTTGTTTTTGTTGTTGTTGTCAAACAAAGCTTCCACTTGTTCTACGCATCGCGCATAACAATAAAAGAAGCGGAGCCAAGCGGGAAATAATAAAGAAAAAAAAAAAAACAAAACGAAAAAAAGATCGCCTCGCCCCAAGCTGGTGACAAGTGCGGCATTGTAAGAAAACCTGAAACCTCAACGCTGGCGCTTCATGAGCCAAAAGCCTGACTTTCAGGGGGTTGGCGGAGGGTGCTGAGGATGAGGGAGAAGGGCATTGGAGGAGAGGAGGACGACTGGCGAATAGGGTGGCAAAACGATTAACCATATAAACCAAATTACCTATTGAATTTAATTTATCCATGTGAAATACTTATCTATACCCTCATCTGACGATGACAATTGTAAATTGCATCGGGAATACGCGAAAACTTAAAGACGGTGCTTCCCAAAACAAGTTATATTAAGGTCAGCAGGAATAATGTCATAAAATTTGTTATTGCTTAGTAGAAAGATGTGTATTTGGGGATGTCCGAAATACATACATTACTAAGAAATAGGATCACATATTGGCAATCTGGCGCATATCAGCCTATTCTCTAAACTGATTAGATGCCATATCATTGCTGAAGATAAGCAACACAGTTGTGGGACTTTGTTGGAGCAGTTGCTAGCTTTTGAAAGCATGAAAAAATGTGTATATGTATATCTAATCGGGCATTCAGTGACTCTAATTTTTTTTTGGCACCGGAAGTATTTGAGGAAGTGAAACTGTGACCGCCAAGCACCTGTCGCTCAAGCAGGTAGACTGCTAGCTGAACTGAATGAAGCGTGTTTGAAAAGCTGCAAACTGTGGGCAGCCAGACAATCAGATGGCATTGTTTGGCCACTGGGAATCAACTGCTGTGCCGTGGCTGCTGCTCTGCATCCGAGAGTTGCGGAAGTGCAGGAAATACTCGAACTCGTGGGCCTTATAAACAAACCTCCGAATCCCGACAACGGCAGAGCCAATGCAACAGAACCAGAAACAGAGACCAAGACTGAGAGAGACACGGACGGACGGCACAGGGACAGGCACAGGCTGACGGCAATAGACAACAGCTGCCAAGCGCAGCGTCATTGCATCATCAACAAACAAACACATACACACACACACACACACACATGCATACACCTAGTAAGTAGAACAACAATAACAACAGTAAAACGCACCACTGAAAACCCACAACAATAACAAACATATAAAAACAAATTTTCCAAAAGCAATTTTGAAATGCGCGCAGGCGCAACGCCAACACCGACGCTGACGCAGACGCCAGCTGCGCAGCCAGCGTCAACGTTAAGAAAATAATGAAAATTAAATGGCTAAAAAAGCAAAACAACTGAAATTCTCTGGCATATTTTCTTTTTTATTTTGGTAACTACTTGAGAGCCACGAAAAAAAATAAACAAAAACAAACACAGAAACTACACAAATGATTGTGTAATTTTCGTAAATGACTTTTCACACACACACACACAAACACACACAACTATATATAGAGACAACCAAATCAAAGTAGTTTATAGCTGATATAGATGTATGTGACTTGGATTCATTTGCTAGAGAGCCAAGCGTAGAGTTTTTATTTAACACAGGACAGCTATATACTTGACTAAAAGAACATTCTAAAATTATTATGAAAAAATGGATATCTTTTAGTAAAATAATAATAATATAATATTTAATTTATTATATGCGTTAAATTTAAGTTATTAGATGCAGTTTTAAATACATTTACATACTTTTGGAAAATCA